CCAAGTCATCATCGTACTTGTCATGATCGCCCAAATCAATATCTCAGAATTAGCACCACCATCGACACAATCAGAATCGTTACAACGATCGCCATCACCATATCCCCCGTCGACGGAGTCACCACCGCGATCGCGCAAACCATCCTCATCATCATAAGTACACGCTTCAGCCTCATCATCAGCACCATGGTCGTCGTCGTAATCATCGTCGTCATGGGCATCACCACAACGAACACAATCAGCATCATCATTACCATCGTCGTCGTTATGATTGTCATATGCCTCATCATTACTGATCATGTACATATTTCCCTCCCTTCCTCCTTACCAACACCATTCATGCTGTCGTCCTCCTCGTCAGTTTTCAACGATGGGCGCATTGCCATAATGAGGGCCATCACCCCGATCAGCATCAACGTTCAAAAGCAAACCACCCGAAGCATCATTATCGTGAACGCCGCCATCAGCAGCATCCAAGTCACCATCGCACTCATCATCGTAATCATGATCCAAATCGGGCATTAAAACATCAGCACCACCATCATCATCACAACCAGAATCGCTACAATGATCGATATCATGGTGTCCCCCGTCTACGGAATCATTACCACGATCGCACAAACCGTCCTCATCATCATAAGCGCACTGTTCGGCCCCATCATCATCATCGTCGCCATCATCACTGTCATGGGCATCACCACCACGAGCGCAAACAGCATCATCATTACCATCGTCGTCGTTATGATCATCATCTCCCTCATCAATACGATCGTCATTATAACATGCTATCCTCTACCTGCTTCCTCTCTTCCTCCTCGCCAGCACCATTCATTGCGTTGTCATCCTCCCCACTTCTTCAACGGCGAGCGCATTGCCAGAATAAGCGCCATCGCCCTGATCAGCATCAACGTTCAAAAGCAAAGCACCATAACATAATTATCGTGAACGCCGCCAGCTGCAGCATCCAAGCCATCATCGTACTCATCATCATCATCATCATCCTCATCATCCAAACCCTTATCTCAACGCCACCACTATCCCCAATACAATCAAAATCGTCGGGTGATCCGGGAATCCCGTGAAACCCGGGAGTCCGGCGGGTCCTGCGAGTCCGGTGAGCCCGGCGAGTCTGGTGGGTCCGGCGGGTCCGGTTGGTGCCCAGTGTGTCTGGTGTGTCCGGCGTGTCCTTTGTGTCCGGTATGTCCGGTGTGTCTGGCGTGTCCAGTGGCCAGCGTGTCCGGCGAGTCTGGTCAGTCCGGCGCGGTGGCTTGGGCAGCAGGGAGGGCCATTCTGACGGCGCCCACCAGGCCCGCCAGCAGCGCCGGATCCGGCCGGACCCGCCGGACTGGGGCTGCAGGGTGCACCGGCCTCCCGCCATCGACGTCTCGGAATCGTCAGCGCGCGCAGAATATAGACTCAGCCCCTGATCGCCTGGCGCGACGTGCACCGCGCGACTTGCGCGCGGTCCAAACGGGCAAGGACTTTCTGAACCCGCGCCGTTTCAGCACCTCTGATTCGCGAATCTCTTTTCGAGCCTAGGAGAGGTGACAAGTCGCCGATGCCCGGACACTGGGCGCCCCCGCCAGCTCGGGGCCACTCTTCTCGATTCGGGGAACGGAATGCCAGTCCTGCAAGAGGCCCGCCGTCGCCCATGCCTCGGCCGATCGGGCTTCGAGGGCGGCGATATCGCAAGCCGAAGTCGGGGTCGCCAGCCTGCATGTCTGGGCCCGCACATCATGCAACTCTGCCAGGGCGTTGGTATTCCGCAAACGATCGCGGAAATTCTTTCCGCAAGCAACGCACGCGCGAAGACCGTTCGGCATGGCGCAGCTTCCAGCAATCACCCCAATGTGAATGCGCGCGTGGTGACAGGGCGCACAAACAGAAGCGCGAGGAGAAATAAGACAGGACACATGGATTGCGGGAGAGATGCATTGGATGGATAGAGATCGCAAAGGACAACAGAAAGCGAGAAGAGGAGGGCGCCCACGCGCACCCGCGGGAAGGCGGAAAGCGACCCCCCCCCCCCCCCGACGAAAGACGACGTGAGAGAAATAAAAAAGAACCTTGAGAATGGGGGACACATCGAGAAACGGTGCAGACCCTAATTCAAGTGATAGCAAGATCGAAGGTGTGATAACAACTGATCAACTCGATAACGTAAAACGTGCACCGTGAGCCACCCCAGGCCTCAAGCATGTACGATGCTCACCAATATATGTGTCAAACATGTGATGCCGGCATCAAACTATGAGTCATGGGGATGATGCTGCGAATAGGTCGTACTCAGACGCCTCCCCATGAAAATATACACTGTCAAGTTCGATGAGATTGTTGGCAGGCGACCTGCTTGGGTGCTTTCATGCCCTGAGCGCCAGACGACAGTAAACGATGTACTGTCAGCGTAAATGCATGAAAAAATAGACTGGTAACGGACCGTCCCATCATCTGAAGCAATTGCGCCATCCTTCGATTGGCGCTGCGCAGCTGTAGTGTGGGCAAACAGGCAACGATGGTCACATGGCCCAGAGAGCAACGCAATAACGGCTGATAACCTGTGACAGGAATAAACGAGCAAGACAAACAGCCAGTCAGCAGATACCCATGGATCGGTGGACGTCGACTGACCACCTCACCGATTCTGGCCAGGCGCCTCCTGAGCCCAGAATCGGCGTGTGCGCGTCTCTGGCCGAGCCAGGAGGGCGTGTATACCGACCCTGGGCCCAAGATGGACATGGCCAAGGTCGGCGAGGCGAAGCAAGTCAAGTGACGCCCCCAGACCCCCTGTGGAATGGCGCCTGCACAGGGCACTTGGCCGCAAGACACTCCACAGAGACGCGTGCGCCTTGAGGGTCACGCACAGAGAAGTGAGAGAAGCGGACAACTGCGGGTGTCCCCTGCGGGTGTCCCCACAGGCCTGGCCTGAGACATCTTCCACATCTGGGACTACCAGCACGATGCGTTGACCGGCAGTTCGACGGAATAGATGGGGCCGACGTCACGGTACGACCATCGATGCAAGTGACGTGGACACTACTGTGGGAAAGCCTACGGCACCTACCAGTGCCATGCACCAGATGCGGTCGTCACGGAAAAGGCCACCGAAGAGAGCCCGTCTACGGTGTGCGCATGTGGCGGCTATGTGGGCTGGCGCTACTACGGCAATGGACCCATCGCAGGCGGATGACGACTGCGACTGCGGTGCAGCTGACTACGGCGTCGACGGGGCGGCGGCCACGTTGCACAGCAACACTGCTAACGACGGGCTTTTGGTACGGCGGACCTCCCTTTACAGTTTTGGCAGCATCCGCAACTTCGCGGTGGGGCTCCAACAGACGACGTTCATCAGCTACTGGATGCACTCACGAAGGTAATTCACGGTTTCCGCAAAGACGGAGTCACTGCATCACCACCACCACCGACAGGCTGGCGGCGGAACCGGAGCAGGCGGCAACGGCAGCACCAGAGCAACGTGCAACATGTTGTGGGGAAACTCCAGAAAATAATGACCGACGCCACGTCGGCTTCGTGGACAATAGAACACCTGCTTAAATCCTTGGATACGGTTATGTTACAGGCGCGGGAAGGAGGACCCACCACACCGACGGAAGCTGGTACTGGTGCGGGTGCGAAGACAACGGGTGAAGACTCAACCACGGGCGGGCCTGCCAAGGACAGGGGGGATGACGGAGACGGCCGCAGTGCTGGCTCCCTGAAGTCCCGTGGTCGGTGGAGGACGGCACGTGATGCCCCCCCAAGGCTCGCACGGGAGAAATGGATGAGAGGTCAAGTGGTGACTGGGGCAGCCTGGGACAGGTTGATTACTCATGGGCGACAGCGTCCACAAAGCCACAGCGGAGGTAAAGCTCAAAACAACTACGCGGACGGATGTGCAGCGACTATTGGACAGTGCATTGTCACATCAGATCACACACACACAAAATGTGTGTTGTCTGTCTGCAGTGGCGTCACGGTTGATGGGATCGAGGCTCAGACCAAGTGGTTCTAGGTCGACCCACCTAGCAAGGCTGACCACGTGCAGGCACTGAACGTGATGGCGCTCACCGGGATAAGGTTATCCGACGTTGAAGCCTCCAATGTCATCCGGGCCAAAGGCACGAAGGCGGAGGAGAAACACGACACTTCAGCCAAACCAGTCCCTCTACGGATCACCCTGGTAAGGAAATACATGGGGGAAGACGCCTGAAGTCGTCCCTGGCCGCAGCAATACACAGCGTATGGCAGGCCGAGAGCGTCCTCCGCACTCAAGGGTGGAGGACGTTGAGCTCGGAAGGCGAAGACGAGGCGACGACATGCTTCGCAAGCGTGGCGGCCGGTCAGTGCGAGTACACCCTCGCAGCCTTGTCCGCCAGGGTGGAACGGAGGCTTGCTATCTTTTACCAGCACGAAGCGAAGTGGATCACACGTTGGGTGATCTCTCGACCTGACGTGCTGCAAGAAGCGGAACAAGGCGTACAGTCTATCACAAGTGCCACTTATGCTGAAGAACGGGCACTACACCACGTTTAAATGACAGGCAGGCTAGTTGGATTGGCCAATGGAGTGGGCGACCCTCCAACGGCAGACGTCCCACCAGCACGACTACGCGGAGGTGCCAACGACCAAGGACTCGACGGGTAGATCCAGGAACAATCTAGTGACGACGACGGTGTGCAGGTGCAGCGGCACGACGCCTTTGGTGGGATTTGCGACGACAGCGGCACGTAGGTGCGACGACACGACGACTGTACTTGTGACGACAGCGACGTGCAGGTACGACGACACGACGACGGCAGTGTGCAGGGTGATGGTGGGAAGGGCCTTATCTGCGGCGGGCTGGGAGCAGCAAGTGGGGACGGCGGGTGCAGGAGAAGGGCCGCAAGCTGGGTTGCCGAGACCGCCGCTTCCACTGCAGCCGGGCGGGCGAGAACAAGACTGCGTGCCAAGACGTCGCCTGGGCCAGTGGAGGCTGCGCCTGCTGTGGCTTCTGTAAGCCAGAGGAGGTCGCAGAAGGGGCCAGCGTCGGTTGCAACGACTCGCGCGGCTGTGCCGGACGACGCCAGCGTCGCTGCAGACATGGCACAGGACTCACTGTGCCCAGAGCCTTCGGAGCTGGCGCCGACGATCACAAACCATGAGAGGTGGCGCAGGAAAGAAGGCTTGACTCACACCACGGCGGCCGAGTACCACGCCAGGGGAAAGCAACGACGGTGGGTATGCCCAGTTTTTGTCCCCGACCCGAACGGTGGCCCAGCGCCTGTGCAGTGCGGCTACGTGGCGGATTCGAGGACCAACAGCCAGCAGGCGGTTGTCAAGAAACGGCGCAAACACCTTGCGCGAGCGCACCCAGGAATGCCAGCGGCACAGTTCCATTTCCGTCAGCGCACCGCTGTGTACGTACCACGGTCGGAAGATGAGATTCGAGCCTCCCTGTGGCCAGAGTGGCCGGCGGAAGTGCCAATCCCAGCGCACCTCATGAAGTGGAAGTGCCCGGAGTGCGGCAAGTGCCACGGACTACAGAGGTGGAGTGGCAGACGAGCAGGAAACGACACATGGAGGAGGTGCACGGTCGGGCCTACGCTGAGCAGGACCAGACGGCGGCTCACCACAGGTGGGAAGCGAAACAGAAACGACTCTGCTCCGAGCGGAAGGGCACCCGACGCCCGGGCACGCTGACGGGGCAGGCGGGGCGCTCCTGGAGCGCGTCCGCCTCACTTGCACTGTCTCCGAAGCGGCGCGGCGAGCGACGCGGACACGGAGAGCTGGGAGGACGCGGCCCAAGCCCCGAATGCCCAGCGGCCACTACCTTACACAATGTGGTCCTGCAATGTTCGGAGCGAGGCTGGGGCGTGGCAGGCGGCGCGGATTGCGTACAACGACGGGGTGGACGTCATTTGCCTGCAGGAGGTGGGGCTTGCTGGTTCTGCGGTACGGTCGTTTTGCAATACGGCGTATAACAACGGTAATTCTGGGTAATTCTGGCCCTTGCAGGTCGCGGGGCAGTGTGGTCACACTGGTAAGGCGCGCTCTACGGTCGCGGCGCCACTTGCAATGAAGTTGGGGCTCATGGTCAGGTTCTGGCTACGCTGGTGGAGGGTGTGGTTGTGCTCAATATATGGAAGGCGCCTGTGACAAAGGTGGACCACGTAAGGCGTGTTGTCAATGACTGCACGAACGCAGACGGCGTGGTTTCTTGGGTGGCTATTGGGGATTGGAACACGGTGCAGGCGGAAGTACCTGCGCCGAGGGAACACTGCCAACGCGTGATGGTACGCGATGGGCAGGGCAACCTCCTACCTACGAGATGGGACACCTCGCGGTGCATCGACTACGCTGTGGTGTACAACTGCGAAGTACGTGCTCGGGGCTTTGACGGGAGGGCGGTGGCGGACCACAAGGTCGTGGCATTCGGGGCTGACCCATGTCGACGGTCCCCGTGTGTCGAGTGGGAGTTGGGCAGGCACCGGTGCGTGGGCAAACCGGACGGTGTCGACAAGGATCGTTGGCTCGACGTGATACGGAGACCATTGGACCAATACGAACACATTTGGACGGATGCTGTACACGACGCGTCCTTCGTCAAGGGAATGTCGGACGTGCAGCATTGGGTGGACGACATGTGGCGGCAGTCTCCTGTTGCTCTTGAGACGACAGGGGAGCGGGCCCGACTCATGCTGCAGGAGGCCCTGGAGGCCGAGGCGGGCGGGCCAGGACTGAAGGAACACGACGACGGCAGGAAACACTACAACAGCAACGTGTGTATGTCACGGCGTATCCCTGCTGGGTGTCACTAGGGAGATGTCAAGCTCAAGCGCAAGCAGATGCGGGCCAACTGCGTGGTTTCACAGCCGCCATTTCAGGAGCGCCAACTCACGAATCTCATCGCGAGGTGCAACAGGCTGCTGTACTTGGTGCGCCGCGGCCAGGGGAGGGAGGAAGAGTCCTGTGTGCTACAACAACGCCTGCGTGCGGCGGCAGATCGCCTACGACTACCAGTGGGCGATGGTGTGGAAGGGTGGCAGGAGCTACGACGGGACGCGGAAAACCGACTACGGGTGGAGCGGGACCGAACACGGGCAGCACGGTTACGACGTTGGGAGACTGGGCTCCGGAACAGCCGCCGACGGGTACACAATTGGTTGCGCGGAGAGGCGCCCGTGCGGGGCGTGCCACTGTACGACGACAGTAGGGCCGCTCCTGCTGCGACCACCGCCACAACGAGCACAGAGGAGCGCTGCAGCTGCTTGCGAAACGGTGCCGCAAAATCTGGGACCGGGATGTCCCAGACAGGTGGAGAGACAACATGCGGGTGTGGCCCAAGTGGCTCCCGCAACGGGATTGGGACAACCAGGACATATTTGATGTGCGTGGCGCAATGGACCGACAGCGGGGCACGGCGGCTGGTACCAACTGATGGTATGGGACAGAGGTGGCTGACCTTGGTTGCATTGTGGCCCCGGCCGTCGCCGTGGTGTTTGACGTCTTTGAGATGGCAGAGGCCCTCCCGAGTCCGTGGTCGGAGGCGCGACAGATCCACCTCTCTAAGGAGAGCCCGCTGGCGGGGGGAGGGGCCATCCCGGTCTCGCAGCTCCGACCGATCACGGTGCTCAGCTCGTGGTACAGGGTCTGGGCCACAGCTCGCCTGCGTTCTCCCTCCTGCGCCGCCTGGTGCAAAGAATGGTGGCCGCAAGAGGCCCACGGGGCAAAGAAGGGTGGTACGGTGCACGACGCGGCGGCGCGGGTCATCGCTGCCCTGGAGGCCGGCGAATTCGATGCGTCTTGGGACTACAGCTTGGCGTTCGACCGGGTACATCCTACGGCGGCAACGACAGCAGTGGAGCAGATGGATATGCCCAAACATGTCGCGGATATGTTGGGAAGGCAATGGACCAACCAACGACGGCGGTTACAACTACATGGGGCCACTGCCAAGCAGCCAGAAAACGTGACCACCTCCCTCCCGCACGGGGATCCGTGGTCCGCCTTGGCCATTACGGCCGTGCTCGCGGGTCCGCTCTGTGAGGTTGCCGCGCGGGAGGCCGGGGTCAGCACGGCCCTGTACGTCGACGACGGTACGTGGACGTCTCGCACTCTCGACGGTATGCTTGGCGCCGCGGCCATCTTGGAAGACTGGTCACAAGCCTTGGGTATGGTGGAGAACAACGGTAAACAGCAGTGGGCGCACCGTGACCCGCGGAAGCGGCGGCAGCTGCAGGCGCGGGGTGTCCGCGCGGACATCATCTTCCCAAGCTTGACAGTCTTGGGGATGAAACTCACTGGAGGAAAGCACAGGGCCGCCAACGCCAAGGAGGCGAAGCGCGTGTCCAAAGCACAACGACAAGTGGAACGCGCACGGTTGCTGCCGCTCCCTCCCGACAGCGGCAGGAGGCGATAGCTGCAAGGCAGCTCTCTTCGTCTCAATACGGGTGGTTCAACTCCACGCCGCCGCGCGCGGCCATGGACAAGCTCCAGGCGGCCGTCCACAGCGCCACAGGTGTACGGCGACGGTCGTCGCCGCACCTCAAGTGCATGGCCGTGGGGCACAGAGTCGACGCGCGATTCCGCGCCCAGCAGGAGACGCTCGTCGCCGCAGCGCGGGTTTGATCCAGAGGAACAAACGACGGCAGCACGCCAGGCGCTCGGGGGGCAATACGGACCCTGGCAGGCACTATCCGACAGCACCTGACTTGGACGGGGTGGAGGAAAGCAACACAGTGGAAATGATACCACCGCGGGATCGACGAGACGATCTCCCTGGACAGCACGGATGAACACTGGCACTCGCCCAAGACCCTGGACCACGTACTACGGGAAGCGTGGCGGCATCACAAATTCCACAGATGGTTGGCCACGACACGAAACGACGCGCAGGCGTGCCAGACTGCCCACTACGACGCGAAGCGGCTCAAGGTCGTCATCGCCAGTGCGCAAGAGCACCCGTCTACTGTGGCGGTGCTCACGGGAGGCCTTGTGTCACCTTCCGCCTCCGAGCGGGGCCAAGGAAACGACCCTGCGATGGAATGCCCGTGGTGTGCAAGCGCTGTACCAACGACGGGCCACGTGATGTGGGAATGTCAAGGGGAGGCGTTCCGGGACCGGTCTGGCGCCCGCCCCAAGGACGCTCTCCAGAGACGCCTGGGCTGGCCCACGGGCGATGTACGACGGAATGAGCTGGACCAGCAAACGACCACAATATTGGATCGCAGATGCGGTGGTGGTCGTCACAGGTATTATTGTGCCGACGGGGGCCTCTAGCCGCTATTTTGGTTTCGCAGGTACGGTGGTGCTCGTGACGAGTATTTTGGCGCCGACGGGGACCTCTTGCCGCTACTTTGTATCACAGGTACAGTGGTGCTCGTCACGGGTATTGTTCCTACCTTAGTGTTGGTTCACAGGTACGGTGGTGTTCATCAAATGTCTTTACTGTGCCGACGGGGACTTCTCATCTCAGTTGGTGCTCGTCACAGCTGTTCTTGCGCCGGCGGGTTCCGTTGGTCCGTTGGGGGCCTCCTGGCGATATGTTGGCTCACAGGTACGATGGTGCTCTTCACATGACTTTTTGTGCTGACGGGGGCTCTGGCCACGGTCTTGGGTTGCAGGTGCGGTGTTGTTGGCAGTTGATTGCCTTCGATCACAACTGTGGGTATGAGGTACGGCGGTGCTCGTCACATCTGTGTTTGCGTCGACGGGGCTTCTAACCCCTCTTTCCGTTCAGCCCCAAGTCACTTTGCTTGGGCTTCCTTCAGGCGAGGTCATCGTGAGGGCCTTCGTCTTTGCCAGCATACTTGAGAGGTGTGCGCCGATCTGGGTGCCAGGGCAACATGCGGGCACATCGCCTGAGGCCTGTAGGTGAGGCTCCCTGACTACATACCCGAGATGGGTGCGCCATTATAAGCGCCTGCGCTGTATGTGGAGGCGAAGCGAGTGAGCAAGCGCATGGGGCCCTAGGTGGGGCTCCCTGTGAGGTAATAGACGTGTGTAGGGTGTGCCGCTGTACATGCTGGCGCAGCGTGCAAGGCAGAGTGCGATAGGCAGGGAGGTGAAGAAGGGAGGAGGGAGCAAGGAAGACGAAGGGGGGAGCAGGGACGAGGGAGGAGAGCGGAAGGAGGATTCTTATACGGCGGAGATGGGGCCGACAGCTCGGTAGAGACGACGACTCGGCAGAGAAAGCAGGGCGGGAGAAGTAGTAGGGCCACGTGCGGGAGGAGAGAGGACGCCAAAGACAGGAGGCAGGACACGAGTGTCCCCCGTCTCTCGGACGCCCGCCAAGGCCGCGGCCATCTCCGCCACGGCTCCGGCGCCGGCGCAGCAGGCCGAAGCGAGCCTGTCCTTGGCCACGGCCTCGGCCAGCGCCGGCACCGTCCCCTTGCAGTGCGAATGGCCCAGCGCGTGCCACAGCATCCAGTCCTCCCCTGCTCCCCCAGGGGCACCGACGGGCGCCGCGACGGCCGTCATTCCCTCGTCTGCCCCTGCTCACACCCTCGGTGTGCATGCCTCACCGCCGCTCCCTCGTTGGTTGCATTCTCGCTCTCCCGTTTCCTCGCTCTTCTCCTGCTGCCCTCTCCTCCTCCTCCTCCTCCTCCTCCTCCTCTTCCACCTCCTCCTCCTCCTCCTTCTCCTCCTCCTCGCCACTCCTCCCACCTCAGTCATCCTCATCCCCCTCCTCACCCCGCACTCCTCACTCATCCTCCTCTTCGCTCCGCACTCCTCAGTCATCACGATCCCCTACTCACTCCGCACTCCTCACCCATCCTCATCCCCGCCCTGTTTCCGCCCTCCTCACTCATCCTCCTCATCCTTGTCATCATCATCCTCATCATCATTATCCTCATAATCCTCCGCCTCATCATTACCATCATCTTCATCAGCATCATCAGCATCATCATCAACATGATCATCGTGCTTAGAATTGTCATCATCATCAACATCATAATCAACAACAACATCATCAACAACATTATCATCATGGCAGTCCTTTCATCGACAGACGCACGCCAGAGTGCCGTGTGAGCGGCGGCGCCATGCGGCCCGCACCCGTATCACGGACACTGCAACCGCTTACCACTTCGGAGTCCATGCTTCCACACGGCCTCCGGAGTGGCAAGGCCCGCTGATCATCAGACGCTCCGCCGAGCCGCGACCAGCGGAAGCACAAACAAACGCTGCCCCGACGGGCCGCGATCACCTGTGATGTGCTGATCATCAGACGCTCATTCGGGCCGTGACTAGCAGCGGCAGGGACCAACGCTGTCCTGCAGGGCCGCGATCACATTGCCAGCAGGAACCAACGCTACCCCGAAGGGCCGCGATCTAACTGCGACGCAAGGAGTACTGGGTCGACAAGTTTGTGGCGAAAGATGGGCGCTTTGGGGGCCCACTGAGCCTCTGAGTCAACGCGGCCCACCCTCTGAGACAGCAACGACACAGTCTCCACGAGAGCGGAGTAAGGAATTTCCGAGCAACGAGACACGGCACGGTCGAGGCCCATGCCTCCAGGCGGAACCAGCATGAACATGGCATTGGGGGTATTCGAGGGTTGGGCAGTGGGCCCAACCAGCTGCGGAGAAGCCGTCGCGCTACTCGTTGCTCCCCCGCCATACACCCGCACGCTGAGCTGTGCATTCATCATGGCGTTCCTTTGATCAACACGCAGACAATGCAACCGCTTACAACTTCGGAAAACTTGTTTACACGCGGCCTCCGGAATGGCAAGGCCCGCTGACCATCGGACGCCCG